TATCTACTGCGAGGATCGTGCATCATACGTATCTAATACCGCAGTTCAAAATATATGAACTTCATATATTTCATTGTATCTGATTTATCACTTTCACGGGTTTATTACGAATCAACTTAACGGCCTGCTCCCAGTTGGCTTGTTAGCTCAATTGGTAGAGCGCTGCACTAGTATCGCAGAGGTCAGTGGTTCGAATCCCGTACAGGCCTGATTTTTTTCAGGTCTGATTTTCGCTATTGCTTAAATAGCGCTATCTACTGCGAGGATCGTGCATCATACGTATCTAATACCGCAGTTCAAAATATATGAACTTCATATATTTCATTGTATCTGATTTATCACTTTCACGGGTTTATTACGAATCAACTCAACGGCCTGCTCCCAGTTGGTTTGTTAGCTCAATTGGTAAGAGCGCTGCACTAGTATCGCAGAGGTCAGTGGTTCGAATCCCGTACAGGCCTGATTTTTTTCAGGTCTGATTTTCGCTATTGCTTAAATAGCGCTATCTACTGCGAGGATCGTGCATCATACGTAAAAAAACTATCGCTAGGAATAACAATGAAAAAGTATATTGCATTCAAAAAAGGAAAGCTTGCACACCCAGGCAGCTTCAACTTCTATCTTTTCCAGATACCAAAATGAGCATTTTCTGGTTTCCTAATTATAATTGTCACAAATATCTGTTTGAAAATAGTATTGCACTTTGGAAGGGACCACCTGGCTAACTAACAAATAAGTTTTACGTGCGGGAGTAAAACGTTTACTTTTAAAAGTGTGGCAATTTTTTATCAGAGAAATATCTTACGCACCGAATTCGGATGCAAACTACGCCTGACAAATATTCCCTTTCGATTTATTTTTCACAGCAGTGCTTGTCTGCTAACTCCTTCAGATCAGTATCCACCAATGTCTGCCGGATACATTTTCTCCCATGTGGCAGCTTTTCCATTTTTCTGCTTCCAGTATAACAGCATTTTAAAGTTCTCTTCAGAAAATTCCCCATTTCCTTTATGTATTGCTGTGTATTGTTGACGCTCTCAAAATGACACGTCTTAGAACGAAAAAGAGCTGAAAAAACTTTTACGGTAAAAAAGTATTCTACGCCTAACGGTTAAAATTAATCTATTATTACGTCTTACAGTTAATGTTAATGGTTTTTTTACGGCTATCGATTAACCCATTGAGACTTTTTACTAAACATGAACGTCGACAAACGACCGTTGTGATACAATGCTGACTATAAAGAATGTACCGCATGCTTACAATAATATATACTTTCTGTGCTACGAACTTTTAAAGCTCTCAAAAGCTAACAATTCGTACATATAAATCTTTCTACATTTTCTTTAACTTTTCCTACTCAAATCAGAAATTTAGGTGTTAATCGAAAGTATTCGACTGATAACAGGAGAATGTCAGTTATATGTAAAAAGAAGGTTGTCAGAGCAATATTCTAAGAAAATTTTTGCAATACATGGGACTATGCATATTTTACACTTTGAAAAATTCTGTTTCACTTTAAACAAAATGTTTTTGCAACATCGTTCTTTCGAACCATACTATCACATAAAGCATTATACAGTTCTTGATAACGACGACGGGAACTGGTAGAACTTCTCCAATCTAACAGCATACGGAAGGCCGTGTCACTTGCATTGCTATGGATGTCACTGATCTGATCCCTAGAAAGCCCCAATAGGATGCCCACTCGTTCCCACACTACTGGTTCCTGTATATGACTTGAAATTTGAAGTAATACACCATCATCTGGAACACCATCTTTGAAGTTCACTATAAGCAAAAAAAATAAACCAATACGCTTCAAATAAAGCAAAGATAAGAACAAATATAAGAGCCAAAAAGACTATTTCTAGCGAGAACAATACTTGAATATATGATTCGTGAAGTTCACTGAATCCTAGAGGGTATTGAATTTCATATCGGCAAGTGTGAAAACATTCCAAGACCACCACGAGCACCAAAAGTACGATAAACCCTGTTTAGATTCTATATCATTACATACTGGTGTAGCGTGTGCGGATCAAATAGAGACACGTTTTAAACAACACAACATTTAATCCTCCATTCAACACGGCGTCCTTTCTACCCCAAAGCACATGGTCATTTCCAAAAAAGGTAATACCATATATGGACCTACACTACAATTGGTAGGTCCAAAGTTGTCAAGTTACAGAATTCTTATAACACTAGCATTTTGCATACACATCACAGTTCAAAGAAATGTTGGCAAATTGTTAGTCAAGAAAAATGTATTCATCATGTTTGACAAGGGCTGATTATAAGTCTTACATTGTTGAATTCCACATCCACTTGTGGATGGCTGCTGACCAATCTCCTGGCGATTACCTGAAAGTCACAATAATGAACTTTTGATAATTATTAAGATCAGTTTTTACCACAACTAATGAAATTAAAGTTAAAACACAGTGACAGTTTTCATTAAATGTTTGGTACTAAGGGCAGGAAACGTGCCTGAGTCGATCCCACTTTTTATCAACAGCTAGGCTAAGTGTTTGTAGGTCATCACCACTTACTATTCTATCTTAAATCCAAACACAAATCAAAACTTCATTATCTACATGCTAAAGATTACTCACTTACATGTTACTTAATATGCACTAATAAATTCAAAAATTCTCCCTCCAACATTTTGCATACTCATCACGTTTCAAAAAAATGTTGGCGAAAATGTTAGTGGAAAGACAATATTGTAAGCTCTAGGATAAGGGTCAAGGTAAATGTGTTCAATACCCTTGACATGGGCTGATTGTAAGTCTTACATTGTTGAATTCCACATCGAAGAAAGACGTGATTCTAATATGGTTCATTCTGCTGGTCTGGAATTAGCTGTGTACAGTGATTAATGGTGTTGTATGAGAAAAAGGATGAAACCCAAAATAAAGAAGATGCCATACTGGTGTCCTTTATGAACAGCATATCGAAAGAAAAAGTAGCATAGTTTTTTAAATAATGCATTGGTGGGCGTTGTGTGTCAACCTGAAAAAAGGGCACGTGCTAGAAATAAAAGAAAACTTATGAGAAGGCTATTTTTATACTTAAAAGGGCAGCGCTGACGTTAGCTCAACTGACGCTTATTCTTTGAAGAACGTCCAACATTAACCAAATGCTTTGCCGGTTTGAAAAGGTCCCTTACCTGAAGTTCTGAAAACTAGAAGAACCCTGATTATTATTAGCATTTTCATCCATATTATTATCATATCATGGTTATTCATGTGCAACACCAAACATATTTTTGTACATGCTAAGAACACGGTGTGGGTGTTTTGAGAAAGCTGAGGTTGGAGCATAACTACCTCTATATTTACATTTTGATGAACATTCAATGTATGAATATTATCACATGTTTCTGAACAGTTACAGAAGAGACAGTTCCTTATTACAGTTCTTAAGCATGATTGCTACAGGATTCTGAATGCAAAGCAAAATCTGAAGAATGATTGCTGCCTACTAAATGAATCTGAGCCATTTCCTTTGATCCTGTTCCCCTTGGTTTATATAATCCTCCATTATTTTTCAAATGTCATTCCTGGATATTTTGCGTCAGGCAGGCTTCCATTTCCAATTTTATTTAAACCCCTTCAAAAATAGCAAATAAAATGCTACAGCCGACCGCCGACCGACTGTCAGTCGACTGTTGGCCGACACGTTGGCCACCGTTTGTCCATATAATGTGCAAGATGCGTTGGTGGTACGTCGGTGACTTAGTTTAGCCCTTGTTTTTCTGAAGCAATACTAAAGTAATGCAATATCGGATCACAGATCGGATAACGGATCAGAAAAAGACTTTTGTGAAAAAATTAAAGTGCGAAAATATGTAAAGGATACAATAGACCTTCGAGAGCCAATTTTTTTGGAATATTTTTTCATGTCAAACCAAACATTGCTATTTTAACTATAGCATTCAAGAAAAATTTGGGTAAAATCATTGAAAAGCCCGCGAGATATAACAAAAACGTATTTCCTAACTGAGTTCTGAAGCCCACCAAAGTGTCAATAGGCAGTTAGAGCCTATACGACGGGTCATTGTCGCCAAAAAATCCTCATTTCAAATTCTGTTATGTTGAATGTGACTGTGTAGTTTTTAAAAGTTTCGCTAAAAGCACTAGAACAGAAATTGAACAAACGGAATAGAGTTTAAGAAGAGGTATTGAAATTACCCAAACAGAAGGGAATTTAAAGCATCACAAACACAACGTAGCAAAACTTGGAAGAAAAGAATAGAAATTGACCCTGTTCCAATTTCTGTTCTGTTAATCAAAGAACTGAGCAGAAACTATGTAAGACTCAGTTGAACATTATCATTTATGAATATCAATGCAATCTTTCCCGCGTCAAAAAAACTGCTGCCGTTCGATGAGAAAGCGACGATCTCCCTGCGAGCTGCGTCTCTCTGTTTCAGCGCAAGACAGGCCCGTCCATCGTCGTCCACAGTGCAATAACAGCAGGCAAATTACACTTCTTCTTCAGCTGCCTGTTCCTCTTCTGCCTCTGCAAGACCTCTAAAGACAAAAAACCTCGTACCTTTCAGGTCAAAGAGACATTGACTCATACCTTTTTTTGTCTTGCGTCCACACAAGCTTCCTCTGTGACATCGCGCGCGTAAAAAAAGCGTTGCAGAATGCTGGGCTCTGACGCTGGAAAGTGTTTCTCTACCATCTAAAGGAACTGCTCTTGGTGTTAAAGCCAGACTGATAGTGTTTGCCCAAAATTTAAAGCCAGTGGTGGGTTTGAATAGCTGGTAAGTGGGTCACTCAGCTAAAAGCTTACACCCCTCCATCTAGGCGAAGAATTTGTAACCTTCACAGGTCCTACAGAACAGAAATTTAAACAGGAATTTTGCGGCGATGACTCCTCGTAATAGATGACTCCCGTAAGAGTTCATGCGGCAAAACATCCTGATCCTTTTTCTCTCTGATCCGTGATCCG